AGCTGACATTTCTCTAGTCAAATATATGAAAAAATTATATCATCGTATGTAAAATTTTTGAAAAAAAAATGAAATTCTCAAGGCGTTTGAAAAGCTGTCCTTATTAGGGCCAAGCGCTGTATTGACAATCGCTGTTTGTTCTTTTTCTGTAGTCAGATGATGTTTTACGCTCCACCGACGGGTGACTAGCCAGAAAGCAAGAACATAGTAGCTTCTGAATCTCAAGGGGCGCTATCCCAGCGCCGCACGCAGCGCTGGGCTCCCTGAGAGCAAATTAGCACTCCCCACTTTGCTATATATATAAAATTGAATGCGCTTTGACTTGCTCTACAACATAGGATATTTGATTTGTCGATTGTAAAACGAGTAAGATTATTCGAAAGAATCTTTCCTTAATAGTTTTATTTTTGTTTGCTTTGATTATGAATCGACTTTTTTGAAGTTCGTTAAAAAGGTTTTTCTTATTTAAAATAAATTTGTTTTTGAAAATCTCAAATAAAATATTTAATACAAAACAATAAATGATAAATAAAATAATAGAATATTTGAAATGATAATCTGATATGATTGATCAATTTCGAATAATATTTTTTTGAAATTTTTCTTCATAAAAATTTGACATTGAGAATATGGAAAAGAAAATTTGCATAATTATATATGAAGTATTAATAGAGGAGAAAAAGAGATGAGTGAAAAAAATGTTGATTAAAGGACGGGGGCGCATAAGACGTCAAATCGGTCCATTCATATTTTTTCCAGCAAACTCTATTGAATTTTATATCGACGGAAAGAGCAAGTTGATACGAACATTTTGCTGTTAAATCTATGAGGTTTCAATAGAATTTCAAAAGCTAAAAGCTATAAACAAAATAACTCATTTTTGGTCATTAATAAAAATAATTGATCCATACACAGTAGATAAGACAAGATGGCACTTAAATTATGAATTTGATAGCTCTTGAATACGACTTCAATTCTATATATAAATCATTGATTGATTGTTTAGTTTCATGAAATAAAGATCCAATGCATTAAGAAGTACTATTAGTATATTTGCTATATTTGTCATTTATCCTTATATATATTTCTACAAATATTTTAATTTAAAAATTGAAGTAACCAAACTGTCGGTCTTGCTCATTTGAAAGCCCTGTTCAAAAGCTGCAAAATCATATATTTTTCAAAGTCAAAAAAATATGGCCACTAGAAAAATTCCGAAACACACTCTTCTCAGAGTACGATTTTGTACATTCTTGACTAGTATTTAGTCACCGTTTGCTGAAAAAATGGCAGTCTAAGCCAAAACCAATATCATATTCGAAATCAACCATAAAAACTGAGTCGATTTGTATATGTTTCGAATATTTCTGAGACATTCATTTTCGTCGAGAAATTTTCCCTTACTCTCCCTCAGGAAATAGTCAAAAACTGATGCCTCTTAAAATGGTTTTATCATCGTCTATTTTTCTATCATTTCGCTTTCATTCGCATTTTAGAAGGTCAGACACTTTATTCTACTGGACAAGTGGTGTTTTTGAGAGACATTATTTTTTGACTATTCCCTGAGAGAAAATAAGGGAGAATTTTTCGACGAAAACAAAAGTCTCAGAAATACTTGAAACATATACGAATCGACTCAGTTTTTCTGGTTGATTTCGAATATGATATTGGTTTTGGCTTAGACTATCATTTTTGCAGCAAAATGTTTGTCTCAACTTGCTCTTTACACTGATATAAAATTCAACAGAGTTTGTTGGAAAAAAATATGAATGGGCCGATTTGACGTCTTATTCGCCCCCGTCTTTTGTTACAGTATAATAAGATTGATTTATCTGTTAAATATAAATTTAAAAAAAAAGTGAATCGAATTGAATATTTTAAAATGAATAAATTAAAAGTTAAATCTATTTGATAAAATGAGAAAAAAAAACTTTGAATAAATTATTCAATAAGTGAATCTTTTGAAAAAAGTGAATCAACTGATTGATGAATTTTATTGTCATTAAATGAATTTGAAACTGAAGTTAAATCTCGTATTATTGATCGACGTGTTGATAATTGTGGTAAAGTATTTATTTGTCTATTTTCACATATAATTGGACATAATTTAATTGATGGTAATGAATTAATTTTATCATTTTCTTTAAAATAATAACAATTTTTTAAATAAAATGAATTTATTGTTTGTTCAACATCATTTTTTGTTGTTTCAAATGACATTAATGATAAACTATCAGAACTAAATCGACTTTTTCGATTTGTTTCAATATTTGAAAATTCTTTTACTGAAATTAGTTCAGCTAATGGTGAAGAACTAAAATTAATTTAATAAAAATAAATAAAAATCATATGAAAATAAAACAAACCGTTTATGCAATAAAATTAAAATAAAAAGTAAAAAAAGAGAAAAAATACACATTGAAAAAGTCCATATGAACATTCCAATAAGAATTGGTAATGGAAGAATATCCAAAAAAGAATTTAACCACCACTCCATTATTAAACAAAAATGTTACTTACGCAAAAACAAAACAAAATGATCAATCGACAGTCAACATTCGACTATAATGAGTCTATTCTTGTTTAATCTCTATTTGTCATTATCGTAATAGTTATAGAATTGATATTTAATTGTTGAAATCGGGAGACATCTTTTGATAAAAATAAAAAATAGTTGATTGGATATTTTTCTTGTCTTTTCTTTTTTCTTTTTTCTTTTATATATAAATATTCTAAATAAATAAGAAAAGAAAAGATATTGATAAAAAATGATTTATTAATTTAAATAAAGATTCAATGTTAGAAAGTTCATCTGTAAATATTAATTTAAAATGTGGTTGGCATGGAATATCTAAACAAGGTATAAATAAAACAAATAGTGATCAATCAAAATTAGAAGAAGAATTAATTCTTCTATCAGGACCATATGGTGATGATGTTGCTTTTGTTAAACAATCAAATGATTATATTTTAATTGGTAAGTTTTGTTTTTATTTTTATTTAAAAAAAAATATATTTAAATATTAAAAAAAAAAAAAAAAAAAAAAAAAAAAGGTTTATCAGATGGAGTAAGTGGAAATCGTCATCATGGTCTTGATCCATATAAATTTGCTCATACATTAATAAGTTCATGTTTGGAAGAAACTGATCGAATAATTGGTTCATCATCAATGCGTGGTCTTGTTCATCGTGCTATACGTTGTGTTGAAAAACGTTCAATATTTGGTAGTGCAACACTTTGTTTATTATCAATAGATAAACATTCTTCATATCTTCGTTCACTTAATATTGGTGATAGTGGTTTTATGTTAATTAGAGAAAATAAATTAATAATTCGTTCACATCCTCAATATCATCGTGGTTCATCACCTTTTCAATTATCATCTCTTCCAACAACAAATTCATTTACATCAAATACAACAAGACTTTATCATGATAAGTATGAATTTTTTTTTTCTTTTTATTTGTTTTAAATTTTCTTATTTAAACTTGAAAGTTTTTAGACCAAGTGATGGAGAATATATTGAACATAAAATAGAAATAGGTGATTTATTATTAATTGCATCAGATGGACTTTTTGATAATCTTTATGAAGATTTTATTGTTCAAATAATAAATAATAATTTAGTAAATATTTATTTTTAATATAAATTATATTTATATATATTAAATAAATTAAAAAAAAAA